AAGGAAGAGAGAGGAAAGCTGAAGGATGTGTCAAATCCAAAACCCCATCCCACGTGGGTACAACGGTTACTTCGGCGGAATCGCCAAAGGGAAGTGGAGGAGTTCCACCGGGTTTTGGGCATCCTAGTCCATCTAACCTAGCGGGCCAGCTCTATAACATGAAGAATGCGATGGACTGCTCCCCACTCATACCAAGGAGGCTTTTCCCAGATTCCTCTGACTCTGACAAAGGGTTAGGAGGAAACCCCCACTGGCTTGAGCAGGGACAAGGGTCGGGTGCTAGGTGTGGTGAAGCCAACTTTGTGGGCCCTGAGACAGGAAGCCCATTGCCAGCACACTTCAACCCTCTGATGGGCCACCAAGGGTTTTATCCCAGCCCAAATTATCTTAACATGCTGCAGGAAAATAGGGTGTCATTCCAGGCCCATCATCCCTACTTGATGTGGGACAACTCCCAAATTGAAGCCCAATATTTAAGTCCTTGGGGTCTTCGGAATGAACAACCTAGAAAGAAAATCAAAGCCAGCAGAAAGAGGAAGACAGGAGTCTCCATTCAAGAGCAGCAGGAGCATAACCCCCTGCAAAATGAAGGCAATGAAGAAGGTACTGATCCTAGGATGTATCCTGCAGAGGTGTTGGTGGCCAACCAAAAGCCACCAGGGGGTCCATGACTGCCATTTGTTGGAACTGTCGCGGCTTTGGCACAGACGCGGCAGTCAAGCATCTTAGAGAGATGCTCAGATCATATAAACCTATGATCGTTATGCTTATGGAAACTAAGCAACCGGAGGATGAAATGGAAAAAGAAAGGAGAAGGGCCAAATTTTGCAACAAGTGGTACCGTAATCCTGTTGGTAGTAGGGGGGGTCTAGCACTTTGGTGGGTAAAAGGATTAGATATCAATGTAATAGATTCTTCGGAATTTTTCGTTCATGCTTTTATTAAGTTTAGGGAGGGCTTCTTTTGTACATTCCTCCATGCCCCTAATGATGCGAATGCTAGGAGGGCCTTTTGGGAGGAATTAAGTATCCTTAAGCCTATTAATGACAGTCCTTGGCTCTTGTTGGGGGACTACAATGCTGTTTTATGTCAAGCGGAGAAGGAAGGTGGTAACCCTCCAAGAAACAACTCTACTGATCCTTTCAAGGAGTTCATCTCCAATAATGAACTCATGGAGATCGAGAGTAAGGGACCAAAGTTTACTTGGTCAAATATGCAACAGGGACAAAGGAAAATGCTTATCAAGTTAGACCGAGGCCTCTGCTCACTCTCGTGGAGGGAAGCTTTTACCAAAGCTGTGATTTTCGTCGAGGCGATGGTTGGTTCAGACCATTGTCCTTTGAGACTTGAATTATTGGGTAAGCAGAAAACTAGAAAAGCAACATTCAGGTTTGATCACAGGTGGATTAATTATGAGAACTGTGAAGAAATCATCAAGAGAGAATGGCAAAAAGGGGGCAATCACCAATCAAACCTTGCCAATTGCAGCAGAGATCTAATTTCCTGGAGCAGAACCAATGTGAACAATGTTGCGATTAGGATCAAAGCTATTGAAGAAAGGCTGAGAACTATCCTGGATCTGACTCATGACCCTAGCTATGAGGAAGAAGAGATAGCCCTGAAGCTGGAACTCAATAAACTTTGGTTGGAGGAAGAAATTTTCTGGAGACAACGTTCCAATGTCCATTGGCTCCAAGGAGGAGACCAGAATTCGAGGTTCTTCCATACCTCAACAATTCAAAGGAGCCTCAGGAATAACGTGGTCAAGCTCATGGATGATGGAAATAATTGGATTGAAAACCATATCTTACTCGAGCATCATGCTGTGAGTTTCTACAAAGACCTGTTCACAAAAAGAGACACAGGAAACAATCTTATGTTGATTCGTGAAATTCCCTCTGTTGTCACGAATCATATGAACCATGCCCTCTGTAGAATGGTTGATGATGAGGAGATCAAGGCTGCTGTCTTTGACCTTGGCTCGACTAAGTCCCCTGGTCCGGATGGCTTTCCGGGATTATTCTACAGGAAGTATTGGGACATTATTGGCAAGCAAGTCTGTGAAGAGATTAAGCTCTTCTTCGAAACAGGATCCATGGCGGAAGGGTGGAATGACACACACCTCATCCTTACCCCGAAAGTGGCTAATCCAGAGCGTATCTCACAATTTCGCCCGATAAGCTGTTGTAACTTCAGATACAAAGTCATATCCAAGATTATGACTACCCGACTCAACGAATGGATTCCAAGCCTTGTATCTGAAATGCAGTCGGCTTTTATGGGTGGAAGAGCTATCCAGGACAATGTGATCATCGTCCACGAGGTACTGCATCACTTTAAAACAAGGCCGAAAAGAGGGAATTGGGATATGATGATGAAGTTGGACATGAAGAAGGCTTTTGATATGGTGGACTGGGAATGCCTGGATGAAATCCTTAGGGCAATGGGATTCGCCCAGCAATGGTGTCTCTGGGTGAAGGAATGTGTGCGCTCTGTCCGTTTTGCGGTCCTTTTCAATGGCCAGCCTTCACCTTTCTTCGAACCATCGAGAGGAATCCGTCAGGGAGACCCCCTCTCCCCTCTTCTCTTCATCTTGCTCACTAATGCCTTATCTTTCATCATAAACAAGAACATAGTGAATGGATCATTACAAGGGATCTCTTTAACACCAAATTGTCCAAAGCTCACTCATGTTTTGTTTGCAGATGATACTATTATCTTTGGGAAAGCCTCACTTTCTGAAGCTATGACCATCAAGAAAATGATTATGAATTATGGTGGCATGACAGGACAAATGATCAACAATGATAAATCGGCGATCACCTTTAGCAAGAACACCCCTGAGGCCATCTCGACTCTGATTTCTGACTATCTCAATATACCTCTGTCAGGTGGAATGGGGAAATACCTTGGAGTGCCCACAGAGTGGGGTAGATCCAAAAAGGATGTTTTTGCAGGTCTTGTTCAACGTATGGAAAATCTGGTTCAAGCATGGAAGAGCCTTGCTCTCTCCCAATCTGGAAAGGAGATCCTCCTTAAATCGGTTTACCAAAGTTACCCGACCTACGTGATGTCCTGCTTTCTGCTCCCCAAAAGAACCACCAACATCATGGATTCTAGACTCAAGAGCTTTTTCTGGGGAGGAAGTTTAGAGAAAGGAACAATCCATTGGAGAAAGGGAAGTGTCCTTACAGCTGCCAAACAAGAAGGAGGCATGGGATTCAAGGACTTCCATCAGTTCAACCTTGCTCTGCTTGCCAAACAAGGATGGAGAATCCTGAATGGGGGTGACGAAACTTGGGTCAAGCTTCTTAAAGGTCTTTACTTCCCTAATGTGAGCTTCATGGATGCAGGAAAAGGAAGGAATCCCTCGTGGATCTGGTCTAGTATCTGGGAAGCTAGGAAGATACTCATGTTGGGGGCTCGAAAGAATATGGGCAATGGAAGGGATATCATCCTTGAGAAAGACCCTTGGATCCCTAGCATTCCAGGGTTTCGACTTCATAACAACCAACGACAACAACTTAAGGCTTCGGAGTGGGTCAGGAATGATAGTAATGAATGGAACCTGGACCTTATTGAGCAATCTTGCCATCCCGAGGAAGTCGAAGCAATCAAAAGGATACCAATCGGTACGAATGACACGAATGACACGTGGGTATGGCACATGGAAAGAACGGGAGCCTTCACTGTTAAATCGGCTTACCACACTGCTAGGATTGATGAAAGAACTAGAACAAGCTCGGCAGACCCAAACCACCCCGGTTGCTCTTCCAAAGCTTGGAAATGGTTATGGAGTCTTTCATTGCCACCGAAAATTCTGAACTTCATCTGGAGAATCACAAGGAATGCCTTGGCGACAAAGGGAAACCTCTGCTCCCGAAAGATCATACAATCCCCATGCTGCACTGTTTGTCAGGCTGACTCTGAAGACATCTGGCACTGCTTCTTTGGATGCCAGCACGCCAGTTCCATCTGGCATTCCAGCTTCCCATCGCTGCAGCTCCCTCCCACTTCAATGCCGATGCTGATGTGGTTGTTCCACCTGCATGAAGCATCCCCTTCTTACTCTGTCATGGCTATTGCTGCGAACCTCTGGGCAATCTGGAACGCTAGGAACGAGTTTGTTTTCAAAGGGGTCAGACCCACTCTCCAGTCTACTACAGCGAAGGCTGTCAACCACTTCACCGATTGGAACGGTATTCCCCCGTCCCCAAGGATCGTCTCTACCCAGCCCCCTTCACCCCGTTCTAACCTTGATCCACCGCCTGGTTTCTTCCAATTAAAGATTAACTGTGATGGAGCTTTTGCCTCGGAATCACAGTTGGCGGCTTATGGCGTTGTCGTTCGTGACGGCCATGGACAAGTGATTGATGGAAAGGCTGGTACCTTTTTTTGTTCAACATCGATGGTGGCGGAAGCTAAAGCCCTATTGACTGCGCTCCAAATTGCTGACTCTTCAGGAATGTCTGCAATTGTTTACTCTGACTGCCAAGTTCTCACAAATGCTCTCCTTAGGCAAGGAGCTACTTGGCCATGGCATGTCAGAGCTTGGCTTCATTGTATGCGACATATCCTTTCCTCAAATGATGGAATCAAGGTCTGCTTTACTCCACGAAGCAACAACAAAAGCGCTGATTGGGTGGCCAGAGAATCAGCGAGAGGAACTCTTCCTACTCAATGGATCCATATTCTTGATTTAATCTCACCTCTACTGTAATAGGCTCAGCTTGTACCATCATCGATAATGAATGAAATGCAACCTATTGTCAAAAAAAAAAACTTAGAAAGAGAATGAACCCGTTACAAAAGATGTGCTCGCTTGACTGGTAGTGATGATGGAAATGGTAGCACCTCCTCCGACACTCTGTTACTGATAGTGGAGAGACGGGCCTCCAAGGTTTTTATTTTTATTTTACCAGTCAATCTTGGTGGAGTGTAAATCGGTTTGCACATGATCTTGTTGCAGGTGAATGAAATTACCAGAAAATGGTCACTTTCTTGTCAATCATGTCACATATGAATCGGGTTGGAATACATTGCAAGGTTGGGGCTCACGTTTCAGAAAACGGACACGTTTTAAGAATAACAAAGTTAGAATTGCTGCTAATACATCACCATGCAGTACCATGATTAGACCGAGATTACATCTGATACTCGTCTCACTGTTCAATAAAAGAAAAGAAGCTGCCCTGCCCTGCCCTAATCAATCACCAATCCATAGCCCTACAACAGAAACATACCCTCTCCTACTTATGTACACACAACATTCCCAAGTGCCGCACATACATAAAACGAAGCCCAAATACCCAGGCCCACCTCTTCTTGCCCAGGCCCAAAAGAACCAATCCCTCCTGCTGCAGTTACTCAAACAAGGTGGAACAGTACAGAAACCACGAAACACGTGGCCACAACCATCTGTTGAACCGTCAACCCCACCAATCTGGCCGACACGGACGACGCCGCCGCCTTCACCACCGACTTCTGCTCCAACATCTTCGATCCTTCCACCGGATAGCTGCACGTCTCGTAGCCTGCCACCACCGAACAAAAACAAATTCAAACAATTAGGAAAACTAAATTAATTATTTTGCTTTCGATTAGGATGGTGAGATGACTCGAGTCGAGAGTGTACTTGGATCGGAGGAGGTGAGGACTCCGGTGTGCTCGAAATCACAGTTGTACACCTCTCGACCGTGGCTCTGGTAGTACGCGTTCATCGCATACGACGCGTGTGAGCGCACTGTATTTGGGCTGAAACAGGGCCCGCCTGACTGAATGGGCCTGCAGTCCACTCCCAAGCTGCACACGTAGTCCAGATTCCTCTGCAACGCCTCGTCGCTGGCCTCCGGTCTCGGCACGCACCACTTCTTCTCCGCGGGGGCAGGGCTGTCGCCGGACGGCGGTGCCTTCCCTGGAGTCCCGCCGTTCGCCGGCGCCTGTGCCTGGTTCATTATTATTATTATATAAACATAAAGGCTAACACAAATCAACGGTCCTGATTCATTTATCTAAACCGTTGCCGTCTTGCGTGTGAGGTGGAATATCTTCCGCCTCGAATATCGAGCGGGAAAGTATAAAGACGCCTGTACCCTCGAAGAAGGAAGGCTAATTAATCCTATTGTGAGTATATTTTGGACATTTGACATTGGGGGAAAAGGCACAGCAACGGCTAGAAGCTGGTAGATAAAATGTAAGAAATCCCTAATCAGAATAAAACAAACCCAGCCCATAGTAGCAAGGTGAGATTCACGCGCCACCGCCACATCTGGATTGTTCTTATCTTGTAAAAAAATCCACCGGACTTCCATTTTGGGGCTAAGCAGGAAAACGAAAAGGTGTGACTCATGAAAAGGGTTCAGGAATCATACCGGCGTGCTGCGCATAACACCGACGTCGTAGACCGGGGAGAAATCCGGCTTGAAAAGTCCGTAATTCCGCTCTGAGACAGAGGCTTTCAGATTCTCGTTGAACAGAGCGAAGATGTAAGTCTCGAAAGTCCGATTGGGCATCAGCGGGGTCCCTTTACCGGAGTTCACGTGCTTCACCACGTTCCCGTTGTAGGACAGAGCATTCTCCAAGCTGACGCCGGGCTGGTTCGGGTCACCCGCCGACGGCCAACCCGTCTCCGCGATCACGATCTCGACGCCCTCGTAGTTCCCTAGCTTCTTCATCGCGATGTAAATGGCATCCATCTGCTCGTCGAACATGTTGGTGTAGTTCTTCCTGGTGGCCTTGTCGTAGAGGCCACGATTGGGCCGGAACACGGCGTAGTCCAGCGTCTCGGGCCGGAAGCCGAAGAACGGGTACGGGTTGACCATGAAGGGGGTCTTGGTCCGGTTGTGGAAATCGAGGATGGGGCGGAGGATCGCGGCGTCGAACCGGCGGAACATGCCGGTGCTGGGCGGCTCGGAAGCGGCGAGGAATGAGAGCGCGTGTGGGGTGGAGACCCTGATGTCGGTGAGATTGGCGAGGTGGAGGGCGTGGTGGAGGGTCTTCATGGCCGGGAGCGTGTAGGCGATGACGGTCTTGTCCTTCCAGTAGAGCACCTCGTTGCCGACGAGGATGTAGCGGATGGTGGTCTGTGGGTGGAAAGGGAGGATGTTGTTGGCGATCCAGGCCTGGGCGGCGGGGAGCTTGGCGAGGGAAGGGACGTCGGCGTTGGCGACGGTTACGGTGACGGAGATCCCGGTGTTTGCGAAGGCGCGGAGGACGTCCGGGTTGGCGTCGAAGATCTTGATCCGGTCGATTGTGGTGTGGGTTTTGAGGAAGGCGGCTACTTGGGCCGGCGGAGGGAGGTTGTCGGCCCAGAAACCGTAGTTTACCCCGATGGAGCAGGAGGCGGCGGCGGCGATGGCGGTGGATGGAGCGAGGAGGATGTGAAGGGAGAAGAAGAGGAGGAAGAGGGGAGTTTTCTCCATTGTCGAACGAGTTCGGAGGGCGGTGAGGGAAGGGTTGATTGAAGAGTGGGAAGGAGAGAAAGAGGGATATGGGATTAATTAAGGCTTCGTGACTGATGGGATTTAGGAGCTGGCTGGAATCTGTGTGACTGTGTGGGAAAGGAAGGAAGGAAGGAGGCGTACGTTGTTGGGAAGAGAATTGGGGGAATGGAATTGACTGGAAGATGATTGGGTAAGTAAATAAGGTATATAGCCCTCCAATAGTAAGTGGAGGCACTCTTCCCCTCTCACGAGAGACTTTTGTTTCTCAGATTTATGATTATGGATTATAAATTAATATATTATTTTAAAATTAATTATATTTTTTTATTATAAAAATTTATCAGTTAATACCTTTAAATTAAAAAAATGAATTGAAAATAATAGCAATACGAAAAATAGTTACTTTTATCCATAAAAAAATAATTAGTTATTACTTTTAATTTTAAAAGCTTGGAAGTTGAGTGACAAAGAATAAAAATTAGGGCATTAATTGGAAAAACACATAGTTGAGGGAGTTGATTGTGTATTAACTCTAAACTTTACAAATGAAATGTTCTTAACAGTTTAGTGAGGGAGTTGGGTGTGGCAAGAGCAGGGTTCAAAAAAGTGTAATTTTTTTTTTTTTTGATCGGCGGGTTCAAAAAAGTGTAATTGCTAGTACACCTAGGCGCTAAGTAGCAATAAAATGCTTCGTTTAGCCTCTATGCAAATAATAAGGCGTTTATATTGTCAAATAGAGTTTAATGTGATTAATCGAAGTGAGACATCTTTAACCATATTAACAGAAGAAAATTAAATTAATTTGTAACCAATTTTTCCAAAACAACATCTACCCTATATTCGGCTCAGATTCTTTGCTCTACTCTTCCCCATTATCGACCTCAGAGCATCCACTAACCCCTATAATGATTAAGCATATATTTGGACATGACTAAAAAGAAGAAAGGACCTTTTGAGTTTGTAGTCCATAGGGGTGTACAAACACACCCGCAAACCGACCCACCCGTCCAACCCGACCCAACCCACCCGTATTTATCGCTAAATCGAAGGTTTTGGGTTGGGTGAGGGTTTTCTTTTGTACAACCCGCCTCTTTTGGGTTGGGTTTGGATTTTGGATTACACAACCCGTAGAACCCGACCCAACCCGTGTTCCAATTATGGGTATGAGTTCGTATCCAAAAAAATATTTATGTCGTATATAATCATACTTATGAGAAAATTAAGATATTTCGCCATGTTTTTATCTTAAAGTCTCACTAATCTAATGCATTCTTCGACTTAAAGTTTAGACATATATTTAATATAGCTATGATTCACGTATTTTTTTCTTGTGTACAATTTTAAAAGTTAGACATAAGTTGAAGTAAATAAAGTTTTATTAAAATTCAAACAATATTTGTGAATTTTGATACCTTTCGCCTCGGTTTATTCGTTTGAATTTTTAATTTGTTATAAAATATTTTTATCATGTAGAATAATTACATATTTTGTGTTGGGTTGGGTTTTTACTTAAAAATATCGCCAACCCGACCCAACCCAATTAAAAACAAACCGTAGGGTTTAGATTTTTTTGGGTGGGTTTGGGTTTAATATTTCCCAAACCGTAGTGCATGGGTCGGGTGATTAAAATGCCTAAACCCGGACCACCCGACCCATGTACACCCCTAGTAGTCCATAGACTTTGGTCGAATGCAAAAATGTTATTCCCCAATCCATGTGGCCCAAAAGGGGATAAACGGGTGTGTCTGCCATGTGCATTCTTTAGCATTTGTGTGCCGTTGCAATGCGCTAGAGAATCAATTTTTTTCTTCTATAGCTTCGTACGCATCTACCTAATAATTTAGGCGATCTTACGGCGGGGGAATCGAATCGTTGCAATGAGCTGGTTTTATGTAGGAGTGTTCAAATGGTTACCATGATTATAACCAAATTAAATAAGGCTAAATTTCATTAATCATGAAATACAATATCATAACCAAACCGTCCAAACTAATACAACAACCAAATTAACCAAACTAAAGTTTAATCGGTTTGGTTAATTGGTTAACCAGATTAACCAATATAAAATCACATTATCATTGACGATGAAAATATTCCGGTTAATGCAACAATTCGCAATTTATATAATGAATAAAACATAACAATCAACACGTAGTTATAGTTGACCCTTAATAAAAAATACATGCAACTAAGACAATTATCTTACGATTATTATAGAAGTATTCACCTAACAAAAATTTATGACAATCGTATGGGTTAATGAATTATTGTGTTTGTGTAAATTGACTTAGTCTCTTAGCAATTATCATAGGCTAGAAATGACCTTCCTTTCAAGTTTTCATCCATCATAATGTATGAAATTTATCTAAATTAGACGTCAATATGTTGTGGTCTACATTTTACATATACAAATATACACTATATGAGCAATATTGAGCTTTATATTTTATGAGTCTAAAAAGGATGAACGTTAACTCTTGAGTGGTTATGCAAAGTATTAAGTATGTGTATATAATATATGTTAGATATATGACTAATTACTTAACTGGTTAATTTGGTTTGACTGGTTAGGAGTGTCTGAAACCAAACCAAACCACCTAAACCAAACAAGCTAAAAACTTTAACCAAACCAATTATCCAAATTAACCAAACCAAATTATCCAAATAGTACCGGTTAAAATGGTTACCATGGTAACCAAACCGTTTGAACACCCCTAGTTTTATGTGTCGATTTTGTTATCCTCTAGGCAACTCAATTTTTTAAAAAAGCACAGACGCTAGTTCTTTGTCATAGGATGAATGCGGTGATAATTTCATAAATTAAATATGATCGTGCATATTTATTATTTGCAAAAGCACATTGTTTATTTCAACATTATCTAGTTTTATGAATATATTTTCACGAATGAACGCTGAACACCATAATCAAATTGATATTATATGAACTCAACCAAGTGCAATTAAAATGAGAGGTACTAATTAACGCTCTAAATTTTTAAAATGTATTGTCCTAACTTTGCAATTTGACGTTTTATACATGGCCAATACTACGGTGTCGCACTAAAAAGTGCGGCACCGGTGACGCCGTCTCTAATTGGGCCACATGGCGCTGATGTGGCATGGCTGGCTTTGATTGACCCAAGCCCAACAATTATTAATCGAGCAACGGAGGAAGAAGTGACCAAACCAACTCCCGTCAAACTAACGGTAGTCCTCCCCATCCGATTAATTGTTTTATTTTTTCATTTATTTAAAAATTGATATCATTTATTTTTCTGCAGTAAAAGAAAGAAGGAAACTCTCGCTCGTCCGATTCTGAAACGATCGAACTGGAACAACGAACTCCACAGTCCGCCGGCCGGTCCAAACTCCATTACCTTCACTGTATTCCTAATCCATTGATTGATTTGTGTAAAACAAAACATGAATCCCTGCTCCCAAGCGGCCCTCTGGCTCCATCGAAGCACTCTGCCGATACCAACGATCCCAAGGCAAAGGAAGAGTGCATCTCCCTCCCTCTGTTGCGTCTCGCCGCTCTGTACCCATCATGTTGACGAAGCATAATTCGAAGTTCCTTGGTTCCTGGAGACATTGCCTAACAAAATCGAAGGATCGTTTGTTTTTTGAGTAGCTAGAACATTGATTGGTCTCGTTTTGGTCTCGTTTAGGCATGTTCTCCTTCTGCCTTGAGTTGTTATGTCAGGGATTATTTTCCTTATGCGTTGTTGTGCTTACCGAGCATCAGGGAACTGGTTTCTCAATTTCAATCTCATTAATCGATCGATTATTACTTGATTTCATTTCCAGAAATCACTGAAACCCTAAGTTTCGATTTCCGTTTCATTTGAATCGCTGGTCTGTTTGCTTCTTAGTTCTGGTCGACTTCTTCACTGTATAATCAATTCCCCGGTCTACTATTTCACTCATAATTTCTACTTGATTGGTATTTGACCATGAAGCTCTATGACCAGTGGAAAAGCTCTCAAAGAACATCTGTAGTTTTTTTTATGTTGCATTTCTTAGTTTGCAAGTTGAAAATGACAATTCCCCCCACCCCACCCACATGACTGACATCAAGTTCTTGAAATTTTGAATTAGTGAAGTTTGTAAAGGTTTCGGTTTAATGGTTGTCTACTTTATCAATCGTTATGGCTTGTCTCATTGTTCTGGAGTTTGGCTATTGTGAACAGCAGAGTTTGATTAGTTTTTAGTTTTTACCAACTGCTCATAAGCCATGTTAAAGCTACAAATTCTTGAAGAGATAAATTTTGTCACCCAAATCTAAGCTACTGCTTACAACTATGTACTGCTAGCTTATTAGTTGTAATGACTCCTCAAAGTTCAAATACTAGGTGAATCCAGTACTAAGTAGCAAGAGATAGTCAGTATAGTTACAAGAACGTCCTTAGTGGAAGGCTTCTTCTCGCAATCGTATTCCATCCTTTCCTTCGCTAATCTTTTGTTTTACCTGATTGAGTTTCATTGTGTACCCAGGTAAATTGATAGAGCAACCGCCTTGGTTTCATGGTCGGGGAGAGCTTTACTCCCATCAGTGGCTCTAGAGTTATCTGCGTTGGCCGGTTAGTGCTCCGCGATGAAGACATGATGTACTGAAGATCTCTAGATGGTGTTATCAATCCTGGTTGTAAAATATGTGGATGACGCAATTGAAGAGTCCATGTCCATGCCTCAGTTCGTCTATTATGCTAAGAATGCCTTCGCGTGGTAATGCAGAGAAGAAAAGAAGAGGATCAAGAAGAGTAAGTGAAAAGAAGGCTAAGAAAGCCGAAGTGACCAAATCCCAGAAGTCGCATCCTAAGGGTAGTGCTCCTAGGAATGCCCCGACAAAGTGTCCTAACTCCTAAGCTCGGTGGTAGCAGTGGAAAGCGTTGAACCATCTCGTCCCAGTTTGGTTTGTTCTGGGTTTAGTTTTGCAAACTGTTCGAGAGGACCATGTAACCTTAGTGAAGTTTTAGGTAGTTTTGACTGAAAAGTTATGTAATTTAATGTTCTGGGATTCCTAGTAGTAGTATGATAAGTGCACCTGCTGTGTTGGGTCCTTTAGCCGACTGAACTGGTATGTAGGCTGAATTCTATGTCAATGCGATCTCTTTTGAATGATCGAGTTACTTGGGTTAGAATGAAGGTATGCTATGGACTCTGGACTACTTTTAAGAAATTTCTTTGGCTTTTGACTCCCCTCT